TTTTCAGATTAATTGAGATTACCGTGATTAGAAAGGCAAGAGCATCGAAATTCAAAATCTCCTTTTTTTTCTGAAAATTTTTGTACGAAAGTCGTAATAGTAGCCCCTTCATAATACAAGCCCCCCTTAAAAATTTTGAACACTCGGACAGTTTAGAAGCCCCGGAGGCTTCTATTATGGGGGGGGATTTACACCCCATGCTTTTGAAAATTTTGGCTGACCTTTATCAGGTTTCGAAATTTTTTGCTGAATTTTTCTTCGATTTTGGGACTTTACCCTCCTCCAGCACTATCGCTTTCGCGCCGCCTCTGCCAATCAAGTATTGATGGCTTTTTTTAAGTATTGATGGATTTTTTCCACATGTATGGAATAGCACATTATCCGTTTGCAGTTGTTATCACGTTAAGGTTAAGTTATGAGGTACTCTGCATATGTCGGCAGAAGAAAGGCTAAGCATTCCCTTTGTTTCGTTTTCTCTAGCTAATTTAATGGATGTTGACAATTGTACCACAGTTCATACTCGAGGCTCCACACAGTCGTTAATTGCTGATAACAGACAGTCAAGATTCACCATAACTGAAGGTGAAAATGATAAAGCACATGCCGGATACTATTTTGATGAAACGAAAACTATTAATATGCTTTTCATTGGCCGTACACAAACTGCTAAATCATCAATCATTGAAGCATTGAAAAATCCACGTTTTTGTAAAACAAGTTCTGGCTTTTCCGAAACACGTGATCCCAAATGTTATGCATTAAGTTTATTTGATAATCTACATAAAAACATATATCAAGTAAATATAATTGATACACCGGGTCTGCAAGAAAAACCACGTTATCCGTTAGAAGATCGTACAGATAGACAATTGTTAAGTTTAGCTAAAAAATGTATTGAATCAAATTTAACAAAATTAAATTGTGTTTGTTTTGTCTCACAAGCTGGTTGTACGAATCTGTATGATATTGATGTATTTGATGTATTAATGAAATTCTTAGGTCTAGGTTATTCAGAAAATTCAATGATGATATTAACACATTCCGATGGATTTACATTAGACAAATTAGCAGAATTTCATGCTAAATTTAGAACTCATCCAAAAAGCGTGTTTGCTTATAATTATTGTAAATTAGGTATTTATAATCATGGTATTATTAATTATGATGAGTTGGCTACGTATGTACGTCGGCCAAATTTACAACAAGAAATGATGGAAGAAAAAAGTGATCATCTGATTCCAATGAGACAAAAATTAATTGAATGTTTTATAACAACAGCTGATAAGCAAATAGAAGTTAGTGCACTTGAAGCGGTGATTAAAGAAAATGAAAAAATAAAGGCCGATATGATGGAAAAATTGTGGAAAGAAAAAAAAATCAAATTTGTCCAGTAATGTAAAATCTATCAATAAAATAAGTCATGTAGAAAGCGAGGCTTCTTAATTGAGATCACTTTTTTAATTAAAGAAATAAAGCTGATCTCAGTTTGGAAATGGTATATTCTATCAATTTTGAAAAGTGATATCAGTTTGGAAAACGATTTTTCTATTAAGAAAAAAATGATCTCAGTTTGGAAAATGAGCTTTTAGTTCCTATTTTATTAAAATATGAATTCATAAACTGTATATAATATAAATTATGTATACTAGATAGAATGAAGTGAAGGCTTTATATTGTGCAACAATCAACTCCTATAAATGTGCGAAAAGTTTCTAAGTCCAAAAAACATTTTAGTTCTACTTGTGTAGCTTATGGGGCCGAATCTAGACTTGTGTTTGAAAAAAGATCGCGCATTGATCAATCTCCCATGTCGGGAGATTATCCTCCTGTTTTCAGAAGTTGCCTACTTTGTGTAGTTCGCTAGATCACGGCGCGCACATTTTATAAAAAAATGAGTAAACAAAAAAAAAACAAATCCCAGCAAAAAACACATAATGTTTGTAGACATAATTAACTTTGTCATCCTCATTGTTTTAGTTCATATTCATCATCGTCTTTTGAATTCTCGAACACTTTACTGTAACGATGACTTAATGCCCTTAACAATTTCTGTAAATCCTCTAGATCTATATGACCAGACATATAATTTTGTTGGGGAGCAATCAATATATCATCATTATGTATTGATCTTGCCTTTCTGAGGCATGTACTTCTTTGTTGACGTTGTTCTTGTTCATATCGTACCATTACAGACTCTTCTGACCCCTTAATATAATTTATCCACGCCCATAGATTAGGATGTGTTTCACATTGAGAATTTAACTGAGCCTGATACATGATTATTCGTACGTGGTCTCACACCAATCAAATCAAAATGATTCCAAAAATCGGCTTCGGAATCTACAAGCTATAAAGCCTTCACTTCACTCTATCTAGTATACATAATTTATATTATATACAGTTTATGAATTCATATTTTAATAAAATAGAAACTAAAAGCTCATTTTCCAAACTGAGACCATTTTTTTCTTAATAGAAAAATCGTTTTCCAAACTGATATCATTTTTCAAAATTGATAGAATATGCCATTTCCAAACTGAGATCAGCTTTATTTCTTTAATTATAAAAAGTGATCTCAATTAAGAATGAGCCGTAGAGAGAGATCAATAATGCTTCTTACTCTTTTAAGAGAATAATTCTTTTGTTAATGTTGCACGTTGTCAAACACTTTGGCTACTTCTTTACAGATTTCTATGATTTTTTCAGTTAATTTTTCGGTAAAACATCATGGTATTCAATTATCTTTATTGTTTAATCTTTCCAAACTTGTGTGGATCGACTTTATATTTTAGGCCTTTGAAGGCACGTGATGGTTTGTAGAATGAATTTTTGTCTAGTTTTTACCCGTATCGTTAATCCTTGTTTTATCTTTTTAGATTCGGATTCTACGAATCTTTTGTTCTTGAAAGTTAGTATCACATCATCTTTTCGTAGATTTCTTCTGACTCTTTTTTAAAAGTCGTAAACGTTGCTGTAAAATGAGTAAGTCAATTCGTATTTCAATCTCTGTGTAAATAGTTATGAGCTTAACTGATTTGGTGAAGGATTTTTCAATTAAAAACGTATTTTTGTTTCTATGACTTTTAGCTGCTAAGAACACCTCGAACAAGCAGTAAGTCGTTTAATTGATATGGATTCAATTAACGTATTATTTATTGATCGGTCTCAGTCTGGAAAAAACAACAATAATTGGAGCACTAGAAGATCCTTCAAATTTTCAAATATCATCCATCAGTGGCTTCTCAGAAACTAAATTTCCTTACTTTAAACCATTTCCAATAGTCGATCCAAACGACACAAATCTGACCTATAACCTAAATATTATACAATATTTAGTTATTAATATTACAATATGTACTTGATTATTGTCGATTAGGTGTCTTCTATCATGGAATGATTGATATGAATGATCTAGAAACTTATAAAAAGAATCGTAATACTAGAGAGGAAATATATGATTTAAAAAAGAGCGTATTACACCAATGAGAGAAGAACTTATTGAAAAATTTATTTCATGTAGAACAAAATATGTCACTGAATCAAAGCAAGTTACAAGTCCTACTGCAATGATAAGCGAAAGACAGCAAGTAATTTGGTGTTTTAGAAGTCGACAAAACTCAGTTATATTCTGGTGCTGTCTTTTATGCTGCTTAGCACTTGTGGGCATTTCGATATATTTAGTGATTAGATTTGTTTCGTAAAGCGAAAATTTAAAAGATCAGAAAAAAGGTTGCGAAAAACAGAAATACATTATATTTCCTCTAATGAACATTCTTCTGATTTTTTTTGGATATCATTTATTCCAATATCAGCTATAAAAACTCAGTTTTTTTCCTATATTGATGATTGAGGAATTTTGGCTGCGTTGAGGATAAAATTTCACCATTGCACAGTCCTCGTATGTACAACCGTCAGTTTTTTTTCCATCTCGTTCTTTCACTTGAATTTTGCTTCTTTTAGAGGAGGAGAGTTTGTAAGAATGACTCAATGTCAGTCAGTCACCGTCAAGCTACCAGGGAATATTAATTCCGTTGCAAGAATATTGATTATACTACTCAAAGCATGCTGCGCTTCTGAAGATGGTAAAAGATGAGGAGGGAAGGGCTGAAAACCATTGTCTTCTTCATTGTGTCACCTTCCAATATCAACTTCCACTTTTCGTGTCCTAGGTTATACCTGGATCGATGATTCTCCTGTTCAGCCGCGTCATATACCATGGTATAAATATGATCCAAGCGATAACGTATCAGATATACCGCTGGTATACATAGTATGCAAACTTTCCCTTTCGTGCAAAGTCATCTAAAACAAAACTTATAAAATTTGCTGCAAAGTGGAAGACTGCAACTGCAGAACTGCATTCACAAGTAGAAAGCAAGAATACATTGCATTTCACAAGTAGAAAGAAGAAGAAGAGAAATGCAGGAATTCACAAATTTAAGGACAACAGGAATTCATAAATTTAGAGCATATAGGAAAGGAGCAATTCACAAATTCACAAATTTATGGAATGTAGGAAAGCAGGAATTCAAGCAAAGAGTACAGCAGGACGATGTTTAGCGCAGAGGATCGATTATTGATGTTAAATTCACGCTGTTTTTGTTTAAGAGTTTCATCAGCCATTTCCTGAGATGTCGTAACCCTGCTACGTCACGAACTCATTGGCAACACTCCTAATGGAAGAATACTTACTATAGTGATCCTTGTGTCTAAGCCATCCACACACAGCACAATTGTGTGGAGGACTTAGAAAGATACATGATGCAGCTAAAAGTCTCAAAGGAAATCGCTGGTGTTTCTTCAACTATGTTCAGGGTATTTTGCCAGTTTTCCATCCAAAAGACGTCAAAAATTCAGAACAGAAGGTCACCTTTTATATAGTAACAGCAGCTGTGTACGATATAATACGCAAATATATTGTTTTTGCTTCACTTGTTACCCATTAAAAGCAACAGGTCACCTTTTAATTTTAAAAGACTTATCACTATTTAGCTAAATCGAAGAGGCTGCAAAGTTCAGAATTGTTTAGTATATGTATAGTATGATATTGAAGTTGTGAATTTCTGCTTATTTGATTTCCTATTTTGTACAATACCTGAATTGCTTTCTTGCAGGAATTTGTGTGACGGAGAGCAAAAGTGAATTCTCTATGTGCATTCAATAGAATTCCTGCTTTTCTGATATCCTACGTAAAAAGCACGTCACGGTTAAAAATGACTTTCCGGGAATGGGAAAGTTTGCATGACACCCTTTGTATGTTTCAATAGCGGACACTCATTTTCAATGAATTTCTCGAACATAGTTAGCCCTCATACTTTGTTTGAATAATCTAAAAACATTTTAGAGTATCTGGTGCATTTCTGACGTGTAGTTAATATTTCTAGATTGAATTATGAATTTTTTTGGAAGAGGGACTCAAACTTCTCTCCTGATCGTACAAATTTAGAATTTCCTAGCTATCATGGTCGAGCAATGGTAAACAAAGGATTAATCAAGTAAAGTAGCCATTTTCTTCTTGTCCAAGAAATAAAGGCGAAGTGCTTCTTCTATCCTGAATTGTTCATAAAGATTATTAAAAACAGCAGTGAGTTTTCTGTTTTTATCCGTATGAATGACACAAGTGTAAAAGGTATATTTCTTGCTTGGGAATCCTAATCTATTCTTCACACAAAGTGCATTTGGTAAGAACAGAGGATTTTTTAAAGTCAATCAGATCCAGTGATAGCCGCACCGGTTCAGCTTTGCCTACAGGTCTGTTCAAAGAAGTTATTCATAGTTTTGACGCTGTCTGATGCAGATTTCGATAGTCGGATCGATGATTTGGTTTCTACAAGTCTCACGCGGACGGCACATGAAGGGCGCTTGATCGGGGTACTATGATTCATCGAATTTCAGTAGCTTTAGCAGCAATGCTTACCAGAATCTACCAGAAATAAACCGAGCTATTCAGTCTGTCAACTCTGAGAAAGTTTTACAATACTTACGTCATTTAAGCTCGTGAGATGTTCACACCCACAAATTTTGAAGACGTGTGTACATACATGGTTCTACAATATTATATCAATGACAGGACTTTCTATTGCAGGAGATATGCTCGTGACGATCTCTAAGAAGACTTTATACTCACCCTAATCTCAAGTTATTTCATTTATTTTGAGTCTTGCTTCAATGTGAAAATTATACAACTTTTCAGTCTCTCCTCGTCTTACGTAATCCCCTCCCCATAATATAAGATCATCTGGCATAGGCGGCGCAAGTTAAAGTTCCTAGGGGTAGTAATAAATTTTTTAAACTCATAATTTTAATAAATAATAACAACTCTCAGTTCCCACTTCCTCTAACAACTCCCAGAATATGTGTTATTAGGGGTAGCAATAACTTTCTATTGCTACCCCTCGCTACTATGGCGCGCCGCCTATGCCATCTGGTACCAGACGATCACGGTCGGTTCTGTGACATGAAGGCCATGATCTTCCATTTCCTATAAAAAGCAGTGCTGATAATAACGTTTTGAAAAATAAGACCGAAACGGAAAGAATTAAATGAATTGTGCTTCTGGACACTGCTACTTTGAACAAGAGCCTTGTGATAAAGTATCTGTGTGCATACGGAGGGATAACACACATGAGTATGTGTGCAAGAGAAAACAGAAAAGTTATGGCGATAGAAGACCAGCCTTCAAATATTGATTTGCTGAAAATAGAAGACTAGGCAGTGTTCTGTTATGCGAAAGGAATTATTCTAGTCCATCTCATTTTAAGACAATCATTCTTACTTCCATAATTGATCAGGAAGTTAATCAGTTCTTTTATTTTGCATTCAGTACTT